GTAAGGGTACGGACAGACTCTCAGACATCTCTGAAGCTACCCATAGTCTCGGCTTGATCGGCTCAGAAGTGTTTCACTAAAGATGTGATTTAGTTTTGCTGATTCCTTAAATATCCAATCATCAGAATGCTGGTAAACACTGCTATGTTGTGTTCTGAATGCTAACTGTGAGGGGTTCCGGGAAGGCACATGCCGGACCTGAGTCCCCTCGTCCTTCTCTTGGTCCGCTGTTTGTTTCTGAGGATGTGGGGAGAGCCTGGCTGAGGGGCAGAGGTGCTTGTCTTTTCCTATGCTCCTGCGTGGGTCACTCCCTCACTAACAGCAGAGTTTGATGTAGTATCTTTGGGCAACATTGGTGCACTACGGCACCATTCTTTTTTTTTTTTTTTTTTTTTTGACTTTGAATCTTGGAAATAAGTTGAAAATTCTAAAAGAGTGGTAGAAACACTATGCAGGTCTCCTTCAGACACACACACACACACACACACACACACAGAAACAGCAAATTTTCTTTTCTAAATCATTTGAGAATACACTGGAAATATAATGGTCCTTTACCTCTTTTTCCCCAGCTTTACCAAGATGTAATTGATAAAACCAGAAGATACTTTAAGTGAACAATGTGATGATTTGATACACGTATACACCGTGCAGCACCTTTCTTTGTAGGACATTTCATCCGTGCTTGATTCCATTGACTGGAGTTTGCCACCAATGAGACTCCCCTATTTTTTGGAGGAACTCTGTGGTGGAACCACATACATGACCCCATACACAATCTTATAGCTACAAAAACCTAGTGTAAATGTCATATTCTATGTGCCGTAATAATGAAAATGTTGACCAATATAATGTCAAATTGTGTGTTAATGAAGACAGGAAAGTGCTGGACAGAGAAGGCAGAACCTTCCTCCTTAATTTAATGTTGCCAGCTTCTCTGCGGTGCCAAGGGCCCGGTAGTATTCTCCAGACTGATTTTTCCATAGGTGTTGACCCTTTCCTGGATGTATTCTAAACAGCTTGGGTGTGTACATCTTGGGCTAATGGACATTTCAGACTCAGCTCCATATTTTTACTCCCCCGGCAAATACCCAAATGTGAGAAGTAAGAAAGACTGATACAAACTTTATTCCATTATGGCCAAATTGATGTGTCTTTTTTTATATTCCAGGAGAAAAAAAATCCCGCATGAACTTTTGTAGACCATTCTGGCTACAGTTAAGATAATTTTCCTGGGGCGCCAATGTTTGGAAATATAATAGATGTGAACGCTTGACATCTTCATGCATTTTTGAACTGCCCAGATATCTTTGCCAAGACTAGCATAATCAAAGAAAGCTGTCCTACTTGGAAAGAGGAAGCATGTCAAATAAATAATACACTAACTCTAGGCCTTGAAGTCTACAGTAGTATCTTATCTTTTCCCTTCATTAATATTAGACACATAATTAAATCTTTCATCTCTAAGTTGGTAATGCAACAAATTATTGCAAAATGTGTTAAACTAAGAATCAGTAGAAATTTCCTCTAATTTGGACAGACCCTTGAAGTGAGCAAATTTCAGTTCACCAGTACTCTGTCAAGTAAATGGGAACAGATCAAGAGATTTTTTTTTTAATAAACATAGATGTGTGGTAGAATCTGTTACTTCAAAATATCTTTGTACTTGGAAATCATCTTCTCTTTGATAAAAAAAAAAACACAGGCAGAAAAGAGATTGAAAATATGTTTCCTTAATATTTTTTAACAGACTTATAAACTTCAGTGTCGTAGAGACAGTCATGTCGTTTTTTTACTATCATCATTATTAAAATTTTACAAAACTTTATGAAAGGCTAAAAAATCTTTTTTTCCTTCACATTTAGTGTCATAAGAGACATGATTAAAATGACAAATTTCCAAATAACATGAATAATGCATTTCCCCTTTATCCAAAGCAAATGTATTTTGCTCCTAAGAGACGTTTAATCCATTCCCTTTTTTGAGAAGAGAAAAGGCGGAGGATGAAAGGATTTACAGTTTGAATTGTCACTTAAGAAAATCACATATTTGACTTGTGAGTATAAAATAATTGCTGCAGTAATTTTGAGTTTAGACAGGGGTTGTGGATCTTGATGTGAATGAAAAGCAAATTATATTTCTGTTAACATTCAAGGTTTTCTCTTTGGACAGAATTATTACAAGTTGCTCCTTGTTATGCCATGAAGACAGTGGAACCCATGTTAAGAAATCTTGCCTATGCATATGTGTATAACTATTTACCCCAGGAAGCAGCAGGTCTACATTTGTAGAATAAGTTTCAAAGAACTAAGCTTTCATAAAACTTGGATCAAGAAGTTTAATATGCTTTCCACTACCCTACACCCTTCCTCCACTACACTCTCACCCCTTCCATCAGAGAAGGTGCTAACACGAATGATCAAATTCAGTCACCACCATAGGATTGTTGAGGGTGGAGTCTGGGGTAGATGTGAGAAAAACCATAGCTCCTTTAAGGTTCCAGCTTCCTTGTGTTTCCTTATGGTATCTGGGCAGCAAAATGGCTGTAGGGCTGCATCTGCCTTGAGAGCTACGTTTGCACTGAGAAGATCCATGTTCTGCTAGATTAGCCAAGAAAGACCTGTTTAGGCCTTCTTTCAATTCCTTGTTGCATTCCTAGTTACAGCCTTCCTTGCTACCAAGGCGGTAAAACACATTTGAGGAGGGTAAGACTGGGAGGGGAGTGCAGGAGAAAGGAACAAAGACTGTAAGCTTGCATTCTGCTCTTATGGCTTCATGTGGTCCAATGGAGTTCAACAGGAGAACATTTTAGGATTTTTTTTAGCTAAAGCTTCTGCAATTAATAAAGAGTATGCACCTTCCCAGACTCTTGCTCTGTGGACCTTAATAGGCGTAAATGTTGTAAACATAGTAGGTGACTGGTCAAGACTTCTGGATGCTGGGTTAGATCTCTCCTTAAGTGACTTCTTGGCCATAGATCAAGGGAGGACCCTCATCCCCCCTTTTTGTTAGAACAAGAATGAATAGGGTCTTTTAAGTAAGGCAGTAAAGTCAAGTAAGTAAAGGTTCGGAACTCCAAGTGTTGGAAGTCAGGAAGCAGTTTCTAAGGAGTTCCTTAAGCTTCTCCTTACAATAAAGTAAGTAATAATCAGCTATTAACCACTTTGGTTTCTTAACGACTTTGGTTTCTTTAACCACTTAAACCACTTTGGTTTCTGGCTGGTGAAGTCTCTCTTTTTGGACTGTTCTAAATAAGAGGATTTTCAAGACCCCCAACCCTTCTGACTGCTACTTCACCAGAGAGGAACAGAAAGATGTTTGTCCATGTGGAAATCCTAAGAGAATAACCCACGAAGCCTACAAAAAAGGTTCGTGATTCTAATTAAATTGATATTAGGAGGACCAAAGGAAAAGGTTCTGTAATGAAGAATTACTGTGTGTCATGAACTAAGGATTGTGATGAAAGGCTTCTGTGTACCTAGCATGTAACTAAAAAAAAACCCTACTGAATGACTTTAGGGAAGAGTTTGGCCCTCAAATATGTGTTATAATTTAGTAACACTAGAGAACCCATAAAAAGAAAACACGATTATCATCAGTGCTTTTGTCCAATATCACATAAAGTGGTAAGGACACTAGGACGTTTCTTCACTCTTTCCAGCAGAGGAGTAGTGCATAGCAGGTAATGCAAAGAAGCCAGCAAGGAATTGGTGGATAATTGGCATTCTTGACCTTCAAACTTTGGGTACTTCCTTACTGCTGACAAGAAGAAAGTAGAGAACACAGCCCACGGCTGACTACAGTAGTTTTTCTAAATGTGACTAGCATTAAGAATGATGTTTTATAGGATGGAATAGAAGAAATCTCGGCACTGGGTGATGCCATCCAATTATAGAATTCAAATTACTTTAGAATCTTCAAAGCACACAAACAAGGATGTATAACACGTTCACAATATGCCTCTTTATAAGCCATGTACTTTCATAATGAATCCAAGCCTTCAGAATAAAAAGAAAAATAACCACATGTCATTCTTATAAAAGTAAATAATAATCATGGGCAGGATTGCTCAGGATTGCTGGACTCGTATTGCTCTTATTCAAATAGAAAAATTCCTGTTTTCACTGTCAGAGTTTGCCAAACCATTCAATTTAATGTTTGAAATACTGCTTTATTTCTCTTGAATTGTTAAACTACTATGCTCTAAAATCCCACAGCTAAGGTTTGGCGGTACTCAATCTACTATATAAAATACATAAAGACATTATTTTTGATACGTGTCTAAATGTATTAATGGTTTTAACCCTTCTCTTAAGAACAGTTGCTTCCATAAGTGGTTTTCCATGAACTAACACGTTTACATCAAGCTTGAGTAGTATTTTGAATTTTTTCGCTTCTTTAGAACTTGTGTGTCATTCTCAAACTCAAAGCTTCAAACTATTGAAGTTTTGGAGTAAAGGCATTTTAAGATGTTTGTCCAAAATGTTTTGTTGAAGAAACAGGTATCACTTATTCAAGTATGAGAATCCTAATCACAGCTTCCTAAGGAGACAAAGTCCCAGAATTTTATAAGAGTTGCCCTGGAAGTCAATCCATGTTCAAAGAGCTAAGAAGAAAGGATCAATTTGTTATTCAGCATATATACGTTCTGCCACAGCAATTTCGAACCCCTTTGTTCTGGCTTGTATGTCTCAGTAAAGAAATAGATGCTGCTGTGAAAGTCACCCCCTGGAAACAGAGAAGAGAGTAAGCAAATGAGTGAGAGCGGACATAACTTCAAGTCATTTTACAAAGGATTTGCACATAGATGATTTCTCACAAGTTGGCAAGCTTTCCCAAAGGCTAGCTGTTATGAATATCCTTTGAACAAGTTGCATAGAATGCAGTCTACACCCTATGAAATTGCATTGATTTTTATTACCAAGTTGGAACTATTTAGGATCACCAAATAACAGGGTTCAAAAGTAAAACAGCTGAAAAATCCAACAGTCTGGTCTAACCTGGGATGCTCTGTCTCCTCACAGCCAACGCTCCATCAGGCGGCTTTGTCTGGCTGGCGGATTTAGTGTAGGGGCTCTCATCTGCAAAGGTACAATGAAGCGTTTGGTTAATTTCCATCCAGTTTCTAACGCAGTGAAGACCTTTTAATGGATTGCAATCCTTCTGCCAGAGAGAGGTGATATGGTACGGATAGGAGAAAGAGTTGGGAGATCTGAGTCTTAACCTTGACTTAGCTGTGGGACAAGCCATTTGAAACGCTCTGAACATTTGTTTTCTCACCTATAAAAGAGGGAGATATTCTCTCATTTACCTCTTAGGATTGTCAGGATCAAGCTATAGTGTATATGAAGGCATAAAAATGATAAGAACTATACAAATATAGTGTAAAAATTATTAGCCTTTCACTTAGATGCATTGATCAGTAAGTATCAGTGAATATCACTAAGAGGAAGAGAAAGAAGGAATAAAATGGCTCAGTGGGCACTAAGAGTAATCAGGTCAAAGAAATGAAAAGAAAGGTTATTTTGCAGATGACAGAGCATTATAAGCAGATGACAGAGCATTAGTATTGCAGGAAAATAAAGACACACAGAATTAGTAGGTTCCTCTTGGAAGTGAGAAATGGCATCCAAGCAAAATGAAGGGATTGGGACATTTAGAGTAAGACCAGAGAAGCTATGTTGACAACAGGGGAGGAATGATGGTTTGGCAAAAGAAACGTATATTGCAATGGACTAAGCCACCCTCTTTGAGAAAGAGATAAAAATAACCTACAGAATCATGAGGAGAACAACTGAAAAGACAGAAGGACTAAAGCTCAGCATATCTGTGACAGTGAGGCAAGAAGCTGAACGAACAAAACACTATGTGACAAGATCATAGAATTGATGGGTCCATGAAAATTTAAGGAAAGTAACTTATATTTAAATACAGAAAATTCTGTATGTTAGAAATATAGAAAATATTCTGGCTTGGAATACAGGAGTAATGATCTAGGATGGCAAATATTAGGGTTAAAAAAGAAAGGAAGTATTCTTCCCAGTTTGCATGGGGCATTTGCATAAAGTAAGAGATGTCTGAGTGACAACCTTAAATATTTTCAAGAATAAGATGTATATGGCCTGAGTAGGCATAATGTAAAATAATTATCTAGTAAATCTAGTCAAGCTAGATGATCCAAATGGTACTTCTGGTCACACTGTAAGGTAGGTTTATTGTGGTTTTTGTTGGAATAGGAAGTCATTAAATGATCGAAAAGAACAATACTGTACATCGTAAACTGTTAAATATAACAGTGATTTAATTCAGCAAGTAGGCTTTATCATCTGAAAACATTAGTTCTCCCAACTAAGTGGTCTGTGTTTCAAAATTGAGGAATTTGATTCTGTTCTAGGATGTACTTCTGGTTGAAATGATTCACGATTTCTTCATAAAACTAACAAGGCCTTTATAAGCAATGACAAAAAAGAAAGATTAATACTGCTGTAGGCTGCAATTAACTTAAAAAATGGAAATCATGGGGCGCCTGGGTGGCTCAGTGGGTTAAAGCCTCTGCCTTCGGCTCAGGTCATGATCCCAGGGTCCTGGGATCGAGCCCCATGTCGGGCTCTCTGCTCCGCAGGGAGCCTGCTTCCTCCTCCCTCTCTCTGCCTGCCTCTCTGCCTACTTGTGATCTCTGTCTGTCAAATAAATAAATAAAATCTTAAAAAAAAATGGAAATCATGCTGTTTCATGTTTATATTCCATTTGTCACACAATTCTTTATGTTCTTCCAACCCTAAATGTAATCTACCAACTTTCATATACCAATACAATCAACAGTATCATTCTTGTTTATGATACAGTATCCTAGATCTTTGACTCTTCTTGCAAATGCAATTTTGAGTCATAATCAGAAACCACAACACAAAATGTAAGCATTGCACTATAGAAGTCTCTATCTGCCCCACTTGAGTATGTGAGTGCTTTTCTCACAGTACTGCTTTCATAACCAGGCAATATGCTTTATACAGCACCTATTAAAACAAACTTACTCTATGTGAAAATCTGAATTCTTTATAAAACCAATTAAAAATATTTTTTCTTTCATAATCCAAAACTTTGAAACTGTTTGAGTACACAACGCTGAGCCAGGGAGATATAGATCATAACCACCAGTTTTAGGGACAGTGTCTTGGAAGCCTAAAGGCTTTCCTCAGTTTTCAATTTGTCAAGAGTCCAGCCAATTAAAGTCTTGGGTTGAATCCAGTATTGGATTTCCTTAAAGGGCAATAAGAGATTTGCCCAGGACACTCTGGGGGATTTTTGCACTCAACGCTCTATTTTAAGGAGCTCTTTCTTCTTTCCTTCCTTCCTTCCTTCCTTTTTTCTTTCTCTCTTTCTTCTTTCTTTCTTTTTGAAATTTACCACTTTGCACTATGTAAGTAGTCAACCTTGGTAAAATTGTTTTCTCATTTATATTTGAAAACAGTTTCCGCATTTAGAGCTGAGATTGTCTAGTTATGCACATCCTTATAAAGTTGAAACCACATTACAGATGATCACCTGGCCAGCCTCTACATATCCATCCCCCACCCACCACCCCCACTCCTAATATTAAGAGTGTCCTTATTGAGTGTAAACAAAAATCTAGAAGCCAAAAGTTGTATTGGTCGAATTCCAGACTGAAGTAAATTGGATATTGTCTAAAAATAGCTTGCCAAAGTCAGTCAGGTTGAAAGCAATAATTTCTAATGGAAGGGAGTCAGAATCCTGGCAACATCTATCATGAGAGTAAAGGGGAGCACAGCAACTCTGCAGTATGGCACCATTTAACACCTGCGTGTGTGTTTTTATACGTGTCAGAGGTAGAATGTTGTGATTCATCAGTTGCGTATAAGACTCAGTGCTCATTATATCAAGTGTCCTCCTTAATGCCCATCACCCAATTACCCCATTCCCCAACCCACTCCCCTCCCGCAACCTTTAGTTTGTTTCCTAGACTACATCATCTCTTATGGTTTGCCTCCCTTTTGATTTTCATCTTACTTTATTTTTCCTCCCGTTCCCCTATGTTCATCTGTTTTGTTTCTTAAATTCCACATATGAGTGAAATCATATGGTATTTGTCTTTCTCTGACTGACTTATTTCACTTAGCATAATACCCTCTAGTTCCAACCACGTTATTGCAAATGGTAAGATTTTATTCTTTCTGATGGCTGAGTAAATTCCATTGTATACATACACCACATCTTCCTTATTCATTCACCTGGCGATGGACATATGGGTTCTTTCCATATTTTGGCTATTGTGGACATTGTTGCTATAAACACTGGGGTGGATGTGCCCCTCCATACTGTTTTCCAGAGTGGCTGCACCAGTTTGCATTCCCACCAACTGTGTAAGAGAGTTTCTCTTTCTCCACATCCTTGCCAACATCTGTTGTTTTCTGAGTTGGTAATTTTGGTTATTCTGATCAGTGTGAAGTAGTATCTCATTGTGGTTTTGATTTGTATTTCCCTGATGCTGAGTGATATTGAGCATTTTTTTCATATGTCTATTTCTAAATAAACCTTTCCTAAGAATATGTTTATTTTAAACCTCTAAGAGGCAAATTTTTTTATAAAAAATTACCCATGTCCAGAATGGACATGAACTCTTGATGTGATTTACTCAAAGTGAACTCTTGATTCAAACTTTGCTTGAAAGCAGAAGTGGAGAAAAGAAACTGAATAAATCAGTGGCCGATGGGTCCACAGTAGGATACTAAAGGATAAGAAGGTCTGGGGTACATTTTAATCCTTGAGCATAAAGTCATGGAAAGTTATGGAATCTTCTATTGTGGTTTTCTCATGTGTTCCTTAATGGAGATTGGTTGATGTATCATTAGAATTTCAATGGTTATAAGGGATGATTTAGACCACTCTTTTCATTGATAGTCAGGACTTAAAGTCCAGAGAGGAAAATTTATAGAAAACACAACTAGAGTGAGTCTGGATTGATTTTCTTTTATTTTTATTCACATGCTCTTTCCTCCTTATGCTATATCCTCATAGGTGAACAATGAGCTTTGATAGGTTCTTAGTCACATGCCTCTGTGTCGCACAGGTAAGGTCTGGACACACCACTCCAGTGGGGTTTGCATAGTGTAAGTTAATTCCTATGGAGAAGGCTATGAAAAAGGAGCAATCATACCTAATTCCTTTTGTGTCTACCTAAATCTCATCCCCCGCCTTCCTCCACATATTTGTTTGCCTAAAAAGAAGTATACTTAAATTATACCATGGAACCAGTCTATACTTTTAGTTCATTTTTTTGGAAGATACAAATTTAAAATAAAAGCCAATATAATGCACTGTTCCTCAGTAAGGACCTTAAAAGTTTCACTGAATGTAAGATCCATGTCAATACTTCTTTATCTTATCAGGGAGACACTAAGTAGACTTTCGAGTTCCACCCAATTACATAAATGAATTTAAAAAATAGGTCAAGTAATAAGGAAAGGAATCAGTAGATAATATCTCCAGAACAGTGTCTGACACATAATATGCATTCATTAAACATTTGCTGATAGATGATTGAATGATATTCAACTTTAGATTAGAGCATTTATTATAAATAAGCAACCTGAAGAAGGTCAAACATTTGTTATGAGCTATCCTCCTTCCTACCTCTAATTTTCTTTTTCTAGGTTTATAGCCTATTCCTTTTAATGTCATATCATCACCCAGCAGCTATTAAGTACTGACTTCACATGTATGTTAAAAATTTGCGATCTTTGTAAAACTAGTATTAAAATATATTTCCTTTAATTTTCACTCAGACTACAGAAAGATTTCTCAAACAACCTTTAAAATAATGCCTTTTTTTTTTGATTTTTTTTTTTTAAGATTTTATTTATTTATTTGACAGAGAGAGAGCTCACAAGTAGACAGAGAGGCAGGCAGAGAGAGAGAGGAGGGGAAGCAGGCTCCCTGCTGAGCAGAGAGCCCGATGCGGGGCTCGATCCCAGGACCCTGGGATCATGACCTGAGCCGAAGGCAGAGGCTTTAACCCACTGAGCCACCCAGGTGCCCCTAAAATAATGCCTTTAATAAGCAA